TAACAGAAAACTTACCAGAAAACGAAGAACAGGTATGTATTCAAATTGGCAGGGAGTAGAAGTTGCGATTTGAGTTGGTCAAGAGGAGAGATTGATCACCGACATGAACTCAGGGAAGGGATAGACACTGACGAGGATGATTCAATTCATAGCATAGGACAAGAAGGTGCGTTGTGGGTCCTTTATAAACATGGACCAACTCCACCTCTCCCCTTTCTCTAACACCGCCAATGGTTTTTTTTTTTCCTTAATAATTAAAACGAAATTATAGAATAATAAATTTTAACTAAAAATTATATTTTTGTTTTATATGAAAATTAAAATTAAAATATTTTAATATTAAAAACATCAAATATTTAACATTAACTACATAATAAATAAAATTTACATTTTATTATACTATCTTAGAACTATAATTAAATTTGTTGATATTTTCAACGGCAACATGTTTAATTTTTCCGGCTGCCTCTGCAATAAAAATAAGATGTCTTACTCAGAACAATACACAAATATGATATGAATTTTTTTTTTTTACAAGAGTGATGGTTAAAAATTAAAAGTTAGAAGTTAGTACATACTTTTTAACAAAGTTTAATTACTAATCAAAGTGCAATCTATTGACAGCCCTTTGGGATACAGTAATCACCGATAAATCACAATAAACAAATGCCAAATATGATATGATTAGTTACGGGTAAAGCTAAGAAAAGATAAAGTCATGATACTTTTTTAACGCTATTGAAAGTTGACTTGGAAATAGTGAAAAAGAGATGAAAGTTTAAAAAATCATTTTTTTGCTTCAATGAATGCTAATAACACCTACGAAAAGTGGTTAAAGTGCACTTAACCCTTAGCAAATGCGAGGGATTTAATCCATTACAATAGTCTCAAATTCTTTTGTTCATGAACTCCACCATGAGTTCCATTGGTTGGGTTGCATTTCTCAATGAAAAGGTGATGGCATTCACTTTCATCTAGAGATTGAATCTTTAATTTTTAACAATTAACTAACTTAACTTACTAATCATTATTTTTGTCAAAAAAAAATTCTTTTGTTCATAAAAAAAAAAAAAAGAACTTTGACCTTAATTCTAATTGCCATTTTTCAATAAAATAAAATTCTTATTTGGGTCTCTTTTACTATACAAGGACTTAATTAGCTCAAAAATAACTTTAAGGACTGGAATGAGAACTCAAAATAAAGTTGAGAGGATATCTACTTGTTATTCTTGAATTTTTTTATTATTTTCTCTCGGAAAAATGAAAAAGTGCAAAACAGTACGTTTTTGTCGTACTTTCAAAGTTTCAACTTTCAACAGCTCCGGTGAAAGACTGAAATCCATGGAACAGTACCGGTCTGAGATTCTGGTTCTATCGCGTCACGGGTACAATGTCGGAGCCCTTTCTTCGTAAAAAAAGAGTGGGCCACTCAACAATCCAAGGTACCCTTCCGGTACCTCTCAAACATCTTACTTTGCTTTCTTAGGTACACTCTTTTGTGAAAAAATCGTTTTTGGGTTCATGAAATAGTGAATTTTGGAGAAATTAAAACGCGTAGGTCAAAAATTTATTTCTTCAAGTGTCTTGCAACTGTGTTTGTATTGATTTCTCTTTCCTACTTGGTATTCTGTTTCGGTGAGACACACCAAGAAATACTGTGAGTTGGCATTATGCCATTGCCACCTAGCCCAGGTTGGACTTTAGTAGTTGAGTAGTGCCATCACTGAGTAATGGGTACTGAGTTTTCATCTCTTGGAATCTTCAGGTGAATTAAAGTTTGGACCTTGGAGTAGTTAACAGTTTGTCGCTTGCAAATCCTGCCAAGTCCAACAAGGACTAAGAATTCTGAATGGGGATCGTTTGGCCGGTGGTTAAAACTTAGGAGATGTTATGCGAGAAGAAGCTTAAAACGAGATGATGTTGCAAAGTTCAGACATGCTATTGCAAATGATTATTACTTTCAGATGTATCATGATGATCTGCCATTTTGGGATTTTATTTATAAAATTGAGGGAAGCCGGATGCTTGGCAAGATGGGGCTCAAATGTTATCTGTTGCATTTGCAGACCCAAATCATGTTGTTGATATAACAGAATATTGAGGTTGATGATAAGTTCACAAATTCGGCCTTCTGGAACACAACCTCAGCTCCTTTGAGATTAGAATGGGCAAATATTCAAGGGAGTTCTCACTCCTTACCTTATACACTTGAAGATTCATTAATTAGTTCTCACTCATCAGCTCAATTGTCATCATTATGCTATTGATGGGATGGCATATGGTGCTTTTTATGCAGTGTCTCAGGAATAATATCTAAAAAGTAATCCTCTTTTTACATTTTGACAGTATTAGTTTATTTTGGTTCTGTGGGACTTTTCTCATCTGTTGGGACTAAAGTTCATTCCATCTATAGCATGTATTCTATGGGAGAGGGAGAAGAAGACAAAGAGGTTGGAATTTGGAAATATCTTCATGGTGATGTTTTTAGACATACTCAGAACTTGTCCTTGTTTTCTGCTGTCATGGGCATGGGTTCTCAAGCAACTAACCATGATAGGTGCTTGAAACTGATAATATCCTATCTACTTGGTAGCTGGGTGAGAACATACCGATTTAATGGCTCTTAATGGTAGCATCACTATAG